TGAACAGAGACGAGATGAAATTTCAAAATCTATTGCCTCTCTTTGCTTAACTAAGTGTGCCCACACTGAAAAGAAAGATGGCTAAATTTGGTATCACATACTATCGCGATGAGAGTCCAATAGATGTTCTGAATGCAATACAGGTAAAATAATTAAACGTGCTGAAAGAAAATGGTTTTATATTAAGCGTGTTGGGTTTAACGTATTTTATCACTAGAGTAGACGAGTCTCCAATCAACCATTGAGGAGACTAACTGAAGTTTTTTCATTTGCAATTTGAACTTGATAGTGCAAGGAAATTAGTTGGAATTCGAACAATGCAGTTAAGGCTGCGAATGCAGCATGATCTGTTGGTCACAAGGTTAGTGTTAGTAGGACGAAGACCAAAATGCCAAGGCTAGGAAAACAAATCGGACGTATATATCAATTAATATGGAGAGTAGTTTGCTTTATACAAGGGGTGACTTTGTATTGCTTTTGTTTCAGTTTTTTTGTTAATTTCACTTGATTGACATGATGCAATGATCTCTTATCTCCTGTTAGACAATCGAGGCTTGGTGGTCTCGTCAGCGCCATTACAATTCACAGTACTGGCTCGATGAACTTCAAGTAAGAAATGTTTGAAGTGAGTGTGCACTGACAACTAGTAATTGTATTTGTGCGGCAGTATTACCGTATCAAAGTTAAAACTGAATCATTTTTTTTCTCAGACACTTCAAGAGAGTGGCCTTTGGGAGGGTGATGATATTATTGACCGGTAAGTTAAGGACCGAAAGCAAGAATGAGTCTACTTATCCATGCTGCAGTTAATAATGTTGACTTGCATTGCGTTTCTGGAAGAACGAACTAGCCATGATTAGTATTACATGCACCTTCCACAACTGTTGTTTTTTCTCAGTGCACCTCCTGTCTATTCATAAATGGATAGTGCTGTACGTATACATTCCACTACTGGAAACGGAATTGGCGGATTTAAAAATGGCTTACAATGCCCACAAAATCAGAAAACAGAAGGGAAAACTTAGACCAGATGGTGTACTAGATGACTTGTACTACTTCCCAGAGCGATTTGGTAAGTAATAGGCCTTTAGATAGATAAGTCATGTATCCACGGTCAAAGTATTCACAAATCATGTGAAAGGCTCTGTAAAGTATCTTTGTAATTGATATATATTAATATCAATAATAATTTGTTTTGAGTCATGGGGTCATTGTTACAGTTGCAAATGAAGCTACTGTGTATCAGCACTTAAGACATGTTAAAGATAACAGTGATAATAATCAATGACAGGCCTGCACAACTCACTGCGTTATGTTGTGGTCATTTTTGTGAACGCTGCCTTATATTTTTGTCCTAACAAGCATGTGATAATAATCAATGACAGGCCTGCACGACCCACTGCGTTATGATGTGGTCATTGTTATGAACGCTGCCTTATATTTTTGCCCTAACGAGCATGTCTTTAAGAGATTGTGCTCTCTTGAAGGATATAATTGGCGGATCTTTAAATATCTTTTTCAGCAAAGGCTGATTTTGTTTTTTCCCCTCTTTATGGAAAACAATAAAAATTATTTAAAAAACTTAAAGACGTAAGTTATTTAACTTGTCTAAGTTCTGAGTGCATTTCGTGGACGGTTCGTGTCTTAAGAATAAACAATGGGAAGATTCGATCCAGTTTAAAGAAGCACGCATATACTCACCAGGCAACTCCAATGCAATGCAATACACATTAAATTGGTGGCTTGACTTGAATCCCTCAAGCGCAGTACAGGAAAGATTGCCAATCCCGAATATCCTACAATGAAATATATTTGCAGTAAATTGATATTAAAATCACTGATCGTGACATTTGCACATGTATATGTATGTATGGGTAACAGCCATAGTCGTCGTCAATATGATATTGTAATAAGAGCTTACAACAACAAAAAGCGACAACATCTAAACTCTGTGTACCTTAGACATCTACTAGTCTCGCAGCCTAATAAAAATTGTCAGGTCTCGCCAATAAAAGGCACATAAATAGTTAAACAAATAGCTTATGGGTATCTCTTCTTAAGTGTGAACTTTTCTCTTTTCTGTAATAGTCCGCCAGTAGAACGTTAATAATATATTATTCTATTCCCTTAATTTCATTGGGGTGAAGGATTTTGCAATTTTTCAGTGAAGTCTCTCTAATACTGTAACTAAAGGTGTTACTGTCTCATTTTATGAGTCATACGAACTTCCCATCTGTAGAAGCGATCTCCAGATCGGAAAAAGTGTAGTCGGCTCCTAAAGAGGTTTTAAAAGTGTTTACATGGTAAGGGAGATATCCTAACAAGCACACATTTATGTTGACTAAATGGTCGAAATGGCAAGCATTGGCTAATTTAATTAGTACTTCTGGATTACTCCTCACGAAATACTATACTAAACTTGATTAACTGCTTGAAGCTGTCTCCTCTAATTGGCCTCTGTCGATTGTTTAAAAGTGAATCAGTTGCTGTGTTGGAACTGGTTCTCTTGAAAATGGGGAAATTTCAACTTACCCTGTAGGTCACAAACGAGAAGTCTGCCATCAAACTTATTAAAAGTCCAGTGTGGGAACGCCAGTGCCTTCAGTTTGAACTGATTCTCCTCGCTGCCCATTTCCAGTCCGTCATTGTTCAGGAGTTTTTGCCAAGTTCCCTCTATTTCGTGTTCCAAAATCCCACAAGAAGGAAACTGTCCAGTCATCTGTACAAATAGTGATGGTAATACCCTAATATAATATGAAAGGGGTATTCACAACACAGCTTAAAATTGCGTATTTGCAAAATTATAAACAAACTGGAACAAATTTTAATTCATCTCGCCAGAATAAGGATGGTTATACCTAAAAAAGAGAGAAAGAATTCACAACACTCCCAAAAACTGAATGAAGGGTCCTAGCCAAACTATAGGCATAGGCCATACCAGATCTATGGCCATCGGAGGTACAAACTGCTGTAACCGGACTCTCAAAAAATGCACGATTATTTGAAGATTTAATATCTCTGAAATGTCTCTTCGGGAAGAGGCCCTGCCACCACCTTCACGATTCCTTATCGCCTGCTTTCTAGTACCGGCTTCTCTGATCCCTACTGCATCTGAGAATCTTTTCTATGTACAGATTTCATTTCTGCAAACCTATACCAAAGCTGTCTGAACCCCTGACAAAGACATTTTCTCGTTACCTTATTTCTTTGCCGTAATCAGGTATCTGCCTGCACTTCAAATTGTAGTGTTGGCAAAGGGCATTAGCAACAGCTGAAATCTGACAGCCCTGGGAATTGAATATGACAAAGATAGAATAGAACGTTAACTGAGTGCCAAACTGTAAGCCTTCTTATTAAAAAGGCGGGGATGATTTTAAACATGTTCCAAACTCGACTTTAAAGTGTTCTTTCAGTGGACACCGTCGTCCATGTAATATACCTATTCATTGAAAGATAGCATGTCAGGCTATAGTACCTTGGTAGATTTCCTACTGCTCTCCCAGTCCATTAGGTCCATGTCCTCAGATGATAAACCTTTGACCGCTTCAGTCATCAAAGGACCTTCAAGTTTTTGTTGCTTTAACACGTATCTTCCTTATAAATCTGGAATTACAACTGTCTCCACACTGGCCTTTGCACGAACATCCTCTGTTACTGTTTCCTTTGAGCTTCGTGCTGAAAGAGCTTTTACAACTACATCCTTGTGATCTTACCTAACGATAAGAGTTTGATTTGGTATGTTCTAAAAGTCAAATTAAAGAAACCAAGGACATTCCAAGCAAAATATTTCCACAATACCGAAGAATCCATCGTGGTGGCCATGATAAACAAGAGCGTTGTGAGGGCGACTTCTTGAGCATGCGCAACTCATTAGACTGCCCCTTTAACAGCGGTCAAACGCAGGAGCATGTGCAATGCACTCATACCCAGTCATCAGCCGTGAAAATTTCCCGCACAAAAATTTAATTGAAATCATTGCAGAAACCGGTGTCACACGAAAAAAAGTTGAACAACAGTGATTAATTTGCTAAAGTGAAGCGAAGTACTGCAAAGAGAAGGTTTTCGTTTTCACAGTTGATAGTTCGATAATTGTTCGTTATTCTCCTAGTTCACTAAATTTTTTTGACATTCACTAAAAAAGTTCTTTGTGGTAAAAGCTCCGACATGTGAAAGCTTGTCGCCGCCACGATTTGTTTACTGTCGCTGTTACTGAGCGTGACCACCGGAAGCAGATGTATAAAGGAAGAGAGAACACGGACAGGAAAAAAGTGTAGTCAACAGCAGCTCAGGAGGGTGGATAAAGCATTATCGAGAGCTGGAGATGTACCGGAGGGATCATGGATCTGTCTAAGCCACAGAAATTTGATACTTGCAGAGAGCAAATGCTGTTCTTGCCCATCTTTGTGGGGACATGGTAAATTCATTATCAAAACGTCCGATCCCTGAGAGGCTGTATGCAGTATTTGACGAGGTGGGCAGGAACAACATTACCAAATACAAACCTAGGTCAAACTGGTATAATAAATGCAGAATCCTTGCAGATAAACAATGTCCCACCCCATGTTTACAACCAGCAAGCAAAAAAAAGTGACATAAGAAAATAAGGTAAAGCACACTAATTAAAATTATAATTTCAGCAATTTTAATTCACTGTCTTCTTTTTAAAAAAAAATAATAATAATAATTTATTCTAAAACAGATGGACAAAGAATATAAACAAAAATATTTTTCTATAGGAAAATGTAATGAACCAGCCAACACCTCAGAAAAAAAAGGACATTCAGCAAATGTCAAGTTCCCAAGAAGGTTGAGTAGAGAAGAAACTTTCCTGAGTGAAATCAGAAAACTTACATCCCTCTCTCTTTCAACTCATTAAGCCCAATGACCGATGTTTTTATCTCTCAAAATATTTTCCAACACAACATAACATGATTTAAATCAAGTGCTAACAAAATTAACATTGAAGAAATTTATATTTTTTAGGGCCTTCGTTTGAGAAAATGATGGAGACATTTGAGAAGCCCCTCAGCAGCAACTATGAAAATAGTGGCCAACCATTATACAATGCAGAAGATATGAGGAAGTTTTCCGAGATTCATGCGCCAGGCTTGTTTGATGTCCTCCTCAGTTCAATTCTTAGAGATGGCTCCAGGCTGTCAGAAGACTGGAAAACACTGCGGGAGCAAAGAACAGTTGCTCGTCTCCATATTATGAAATATTTTAGGTATCTGGCAAGGAAGGAAATAGAAAACAATGCTGACCTCTAGTGAGATCGTGTGGTCAAAAAAAAATTGCTGTTCATCTTTGTCTAGATCCCAGAAGTCATGTCTCTTGCAAAAAGACCTGGGTCTGTATATGCACCAACATGGCCTTTCAAGAGCTTGCTTGAACAATGGCCCTATCTTTGCCTTTTCAGTAGCACCAAGATCAATTGATAGGCACAACATCAACTTACGGGAGCAGTATCCAAGCTTGTTAAAGCAAAAAATAGAACAGTCAGTTAAGGTGTAACTGAATATGTAATCACCTGATAACTCTTATTAAATACAAATCCATTTCAGAAATAAAATAAATCGAAAGCTACACAGTAATGTTTTAAAAACAGCCAAACCATTGGAATCAGAGTGCCTTATTATTGACATTAAATGACAGAAAATTTACAAATACCACGACAATTTTTCGAATGACAAATTTAATATTGTTTGACAACCTGGACACTTCTAGTGGCATTTATGATTACCTATTGACAACTCAGTAAGGGATTAAAGAAATTGGACTATCGCGTATAAGAAGGTAGCCTGTGAAAAGGTTCTCTGTCTGGGGAAGGGCAAGATTTTTTCACCCTTTGTCCAAACAGAGACCCTGTTCACAGGCTAATAAGAATGTAACATAATAACTTGATTACTAAGTTCAAAACATATCTACTGACTATTACGACTATTTATTCATGATTGTATTTTTACAAGAACTGTTCCCAGAAGGTCTTAAAAGCCACCACCACTCTTTTCTAACGTCTCTTCCCCAACAGTAGGGACCTTAAGATACTCTGGAGGTGGCCGAGGAGGACGTCAACCGGAAGTGAAATGTTCAATTCTTGGAACTAATTAGCATAATGCCACATCGTCGACCTGAAGTCGTGACGGTGAAAACTAGAAGTCTGGCCGCCTCATAAAACGGTGAGTTGGTTTTCTTGTTTTCAATGCAGAAATTGCTTTTCGTACAGGATTTTCGATCCGTTTTACTTAATGAGACACATTTAAGTGTTTTTAGTGAGGTGTTCTCTCAAGGTTGCCTCTTATTTTTTTGCTATCAAGCCTTTTGGGTTCAGTGTTTTGGCGGCAACTGAGAATGAAAGTGCTGAGTCTTTCGACACAAATGTAACACTATAACTGCTTGTTTTTAAGGGGACAATGTTCTTGCTTTAGGATAGTATTTGAAAACTTTAAGAGACAAGAAGTCGAATAAAAATTGTTGAAAAACAAAAAATCTAGGCTTGTAATAAACTTGAACATGTCGGAGAAAATTGAGATCTTGAACAAGATGCCATGGTTCATTTATTAACTTTTATAATTTTATTTTGTTCACTTTCAGTTCAGCGATGGAGCGGTATCATATCGTTTTAAAGCACGATCTAGAACAACGGAAAGCGAAAAAGTCTGGCAACAAATAGCTGATAAACTGAACTCCGATCATACCCTCAAGTTTCCCTCGAAGAAATTCAGTTTTTTTTTAGAGAAACTGGGGTAATAGGCGGCAGCACAAATTTTTCTTCCAATAAAAGATCGTTAAGGTATCGATCAAGCAAGACTTCACGACTTATGGAATTAAAACACGAAAGCATTACTTTATCCTCTCTCGTCAGGCAAGCACTCAACCCAACCTGCTCAATCTTAATTTGTTTTTCCCGCGAAGGTGGCAGCGTCCTCACTCCAGGCATTCTCCGTTCTCTTTACCGCCACGTCCAGGGTATCTTAAGGTCCCTAGTGTCAGCAGCTGAAGGCTAAAGATATACAAAAAAGATCAAACAGTTCAGGTGTTCTCTTTTCCCGCAACTGTCCAGTTTAACAGGGTTTCATAGTTGTTGTGGGTAAAATCGCAGTGAATGCATAAACTGTAATAGCATTTGAACCACGAAGAAAACAAAACATGTCTTCTCTTTGCCAAGTTGATTGGGTTTGCATGAATTGTTTGGTACAGAAAAAAAAATTTAAAAAAAAACACCAAAACATCCAATTTGAAATAGTGACATGTGCACTTGCACAATGTGTTCCAGCAACCCCCCAGGTACTGACTTAATTTCTTTACAATAGACCTGAGCAATGTATGCATTATATCAAGTCTTAAATTGCAATCATGGTGCAAGGGTAACAATGTTTTTGCTTTCATTTCTAGAGTATACAATGGCATAGCACAAGATGAACTTCTTACCCTGAACTCTTGCGTTTTAATAGATGAATTTGAGGCAGCCTTGAAACACATGGACGATTACAAGGCCGCGCT